TGTGGACAGATGAGACCAAGATAGAGCTTTTCGGTAAAGCACATCATTCTACTGTTTACCGAAAACGGAATGAGGCCTACAAAGAACAAAACACAGTACCTACGGTAAAATATGGTGGAGGTTCAATGATGTTTTGGGGTTGTTTTGCTGCCTCTGGCACTGGGTGCCTTGACTGTGTGCAAGGCATCATGAAATCTGAGGATTACCAAAGGATTTTGGGTCGCACTGTAGGGCCCAGTGTCAGAAAGCTGGGTTTGCGTCCAAGATCCTGGGTCTTCCAGCAGGACAATGACCCCAAACATACGTCAAAAAGCACTCAGAAATGGATGGCAAAGAAGCGCTGGAGAGTTCTGAAGTGGCCAGCAATGAGCCCAGATCTAAATCCCATTGAACACCTGTGGAGAGATCTTAAAATTGCTGTTGGGAAAAGGTGTCCTTCCAATAAGAGAGACCTGGAGCTGTTTGCAAAGGAAGAGTGGTCCAAAATTCCGGGTGAGAGGTGTCAGAAGCTTATTGATGGTTATAGGAAGCGACTGATTTCAGTTATGTTTTCCAAAAGGGTGTGCAACCAAATATTAAGTTAAGGGTGCCAATACTTTTGTCCAGCCCATTTTTGGGGTTTTGTGTGACATTATGTCATATTTGCTTTTCTGCCTCTGTTTTTATATTTGTTCCAATACATACAAAGGGAATAAACATGTGTATAGCAAAACATGTGTTAATGCAATACCTTTTTTGTGTGAAATACTTGATTTTCAGGAAAAATATCAAGGGTGCCAACAATTTCGGCCATGACTGTACTGTATATATAGATATATATATAGATATATATCTATATATATATATATATATATATATATATATATATATATATATATATATATATAGATGTATATATATATATATATATATATATATATATAGATAGATAGATGTATCTATCTATCTATCTATCTATCTATATATATATATATATATATATATATATATGCAATTTTTATTAATCAATATAAAATGTACTTGTGGTTTTAAAAAGAATCTTCTTTAGCAATATCTGCTAGAAGTGTTTTTTTTAAATGACACTTTTCGCCAGTATGATTTATTTTCTTCAGTCTTAAAACATCAATGACATATTTCCGTAATTAAAAAAAATTGAATAAAAATTAAAAAAAATATCATTTAGAGCTGGTCAAAGTTAATCACAATTGTGTGGTTCCTTAAATCTTTTCATTTTTATTTTAATGTCGAAGCAGAAAAGTTCCTACACTGTTTAGTATAGGTAAGCGCTTCAACTGTATTTTTTTATTTTAGAAAGAATTTGAGAATTTTATTTTGTGAAAAAAAATAATAAGTGCAATTTTCAGTCTCTAACACCAGAAACCAAACTGGACACTTCTTTGCCCATGTGGGCAAATTCATGTAAATCATTAGTGTGAGTTTAGATTTTTTATTTAATTAAATTTGGTTAAAAATGCAAACTTGTACAAAAAAAACAAAAACAAATAAAAAGAGAAAAAGGCAGTGCCTATGACCTTCAAAAACACAGAATAAAAAACAATGCTTACAAAAAGTACAATACAAGTCCTTTTATACTTTCCCCGACATCTAACTAATAAAAAAAAATACTGGTGTAGATAGAGATTTCCTTCCATGTACAAAAAAAAAAAAAAAAAGAAAAAAAGAAAGAAAAATAAAGGCCCTGTTCTTAAGAAAGAAAGAAAAAATTTTTTATACAGATTCCTGATGCATGGTACCACTATAGGGTACACGCAGTAGGAATATCCTGAGTATAGATTACATTGTTATGGACTTAGTAATGGCGAGTCTGGAGGGTATAAAACGTCCTAGCAGCAGGTTAAAGCAATTACTCGTCTTAGGCTAGACAAACTGATAGCCACTTGCAGGATTTTTAATACAAACCACTCTGTTATGTATTATATCAGAAGTACATCAGGGCCGGATTTTAGAAGAAGGTGACCTTGGAGGTCTTGATGGCCTTTTTTTTTTGACGAGGCTCCATTTGCTTCGTACTAGACCCATCACTTTGCTGTACGCATTATACAGCAAAAGAAGATCATTAATAAAACATTACAATTTTTTTTCAGTTATAAAGGGGTTTTTGCAGTGTGAATAGCCTATTCCTATTCTTGTATTCCAAAGGTATTATAACAATGGAGAGTTAGGTGTGACTTGCAGTGGTAATGATCTCCTTGTAGACCACTTGGACACAAAGGCACCAGTCACACCTAACCCTCTTTACTTTCTAAATATGAGAAGGTGAAAATCACAGTAAAGCCTTTACAACTTGAAAAAAAATACAATCCAAAGTGTCTACCTTTCCATGATTTCTTTCTCGACGGTGTTATCTGCTACAAAGGGTTGGTTCTCTTCAACCAACTCTTGACCAGAAGAACAAATTTACACTCTGTCCACCAAAAGTATGAATTTGAGGCATGGCCGATCACTGGATGCCTACCATTGAGGTAATGCATTAAAAACACACAGGTCCGTGTGCACAGAACACAGATTGCATGCCCTTTAGCACTAATGAAGCATGGAGGAGCCCTAAAAGGTTGCTGCTGTCATAGCACCGGTTGAGTCACGGTTAGGCCTGGATATAGGACACCTTGGGATCTGAATCCGACCCTGCATCCTGGTGGATATATATGACCGTAGGTACATCAAGTTATTGATACACATGTGAGCTGAACCTTCTTTTCTACAATAGCCTTCCCTCTTCAGAGTGGTCAAATGAGATTTAAGTGGGTCTCTATTGGTTTTGGAGTGATAACCTTGCTATACAAAGGGAAGATGTCTCAAAGACGGCATGAAGTGAGCTTGGCTCCTACCATGGAAGTAGGAGGATGTTGTTCTCAATGTGAAAGAAGGGCCAGAAATAAACCGATGACATGCTCTGTTCTGGGCCATTATTCTCAGACATTCATCATTAGTCAAAGAGAAATCTGTTGCTGAACAAGGAGCAGTGATCTCTTTCTAAACTGTCCTCCTATAGGTAGATGCAAGATTGAACATAGACAAGATAGCCTTCATATTCCAAAATGGAAAGATTGCTGTGGCTGACTTATTTTTCAAGGTTCAAGCTATGGGGCTTCAGCTTTGGTCACTGAGCCAAAATAAGTATGCAATGAACCAGTTCCAGATCCTGAATTGAAGTGTTTTCAGAAAGGAGGAGCCATTCTATTTTTTGCAATCCAGATAAAGTTTATTGGTCTCAAAATTGGTTGGACTAACATGTTTCAGGAGGTTCAAGGGGCCCTCACTTCATCAAAGCTACAAACAAATACACAGCTCTTAATGGGGGACCCCTTGGACCCTCCTAAAACATGGTGGCTCTTTTAAATAATAAATACTGTGACCAATAACCATTATCTGGGCTACAAATATAACTTGACACTCTACTTCCTACAAATCTGAGACGCTACCCAAAAGGCCTAACTTTGGCCCTTGTGTGCTAGAGAGCTGCCTACTACCCAACTGGAATATCAACATACTCCAAGGTTCAGCGCTCCACAACCTCGTTTCTCTAATGAGTCACCAGGCAGAGGTGACAACTGCAGCTTCCATGTAGACAGGTTGCCCTCAACAATATCAATATATATTGTTTGGTCGCTATTTCTGATATTTCGTGAATTATTTTATGCTAGCATGATTCCTCAAATAACAAACATGCCTTGGAACCAGGTCAGGCCTTGTTCTCAGACACTCCAAAACCAAAAAAGGCCACAGGGGTTCCTTACCATTTTACATACATTTTCTTCCCCTCCTTTCGGTTGAAACAGAACTAAACAAACCAAAGATATGAGGAAAATATGGATGAAAGGGGTGATGTAGATTATGAAAAATGGTCATTCCCTATAAAAAAAAAAAAAAAGATGCTGTGTAGGTTTCACGGTCATACCCTTAACTTAGGCTTCGGCCTACCTCTGCCTTGCTGTAGTTGGCTTCTCTTGACTTTGCAGAGGCAATGAGAGGCAATGAGGCAAAGACCGTTGTTACACAGGTTACTTGTCTGTTGGTTATCTGAGTAATAGCATATATAACAAGAGGTGAAAGGGGGTTTTACAGCACTTTTGAGGCTGTCCCCGGTCAGTCTCACTGACCTCCTGAATACAACTGATGGCAAGAAAAGCAACAAATTCTCTTTTGTTTTTAACTCCACAATTTGTAAAATTTTTGTGTGGTTTCAAGAAATTGTGTCAAACCTCAGGAAAAGATAGCGGGCTGCCACGTTTGCTGCTCCAGCAGCAAAGAGGGTTAAAAAAACAGGCCCTAAAAAGGTGCGCAAAGCAGGCCTCTCACTTAGAAAAGACATGATTGTACATACAAGCCAGTAGTAGCTCTACAAATGCACTTCAGCTGCAACAACGATGCGCTTTACCTCGGTATAATATATATACTTCTCTCTCTCTTTCTCTCGTTCCTCCCCCAATCCCCGCCACCCGTAAGTTACCCAGAACCCTTCACTCTCCTCTCCTTTTGGGTTCTACATCAGTGACAGAACCAGCTGAAACTGACATTCTGCGACATTCTCTCCAGGCGCGCAAAAACGCCTGTTTTCCTTTCAGTGTCATCACAGCGACTGTGTACAAAAATAAGTATCATCTGTCATTTGGCTCGAAAGAGGACCGTCGGTCCGATTGTCCAGCCCTGCAGCTCTCTCCAAACGTCCAATGCTGATCAAGCGCTCTCCAAAGAGGGCAAGGGGCTAATAGGGATAGAAAAAAAAACTGCGGCAAAACTTATCGATTTTCCTTCTCCTCCACTTTCCTTTTTTTTTTTTTTTTTTTCTTTTTTTTTTTACACTTAGCAAAAGCGTCTTTGCCTGGCAGTTTTTTCGACCCAAAAAAAAAGGATGGCTGCAGTTTGAGATATCAAAGATCTCTGCAAAAATATAGAACATATATATGTTGCATATATATATTTCTATAGCTTGTCTGTGTTAGCATCTCCCTTGATTTAACAAGGTCTGGTCAAAGTTGTCATTCAGTGAGCAGTTGTTGTAAGAGGCTCTTCTGTTGAGCCTGGGGGGTGGTGGGCCCAGGTGTAGTCTTCTGAGAAGCCATGGGTCCTTGTTGGTTCAGGTATGGGTCCCCACCCACGAGGTTCACTGTACATTGGACATCGGCAAACACTTGTACTTGCTGGACCTGCTGGTGAGAAAACACAGGCTGAGATTAGGAGAACTGGCTTCCACTCACCTAAAGATTAAAATTTGAATACTACAATAACATACAAGGCCATCAACAAATCTGCCTCAAGCCACATCATCAAGGAAGTCTCATATATCACCCAAACTGTTCTCTTCACTCCTCCCAAGACCTCCTGCTTTCTAGCTGCCTTGTTATCTCATCCCCATGTCTTCTCCAGAAACTCTCCCTTCTTCTGGAACTCCTTACCCCAACCTGTCCAGCCATCTACTCTATCTGCCTTTAGGCAATCCTGAAAATGCATCTCTTCAGGAAAGCCTATCTTGCCTCCACCCAACAGCTGAACCTTTACTTTTTCCATCAACTCATCCCTCTCAGTTATTACCAGGGGCGGACTGACCATTTGGAAACTTGGGCACTGCCCAAGGGCCCAAGGTCAGTAGGGCGCCCCATGAGATGCCCCTGGTACCTTTTTCATAGGCTTTTTTGAGTTTGGGCAAGGACACAGGGGGCCCCATGATCCCCTCTTGCCCGAGGGCCCCATGAGTTGTCAGTCTGCCCCTGGTTATTACCCTATTATAATTTAACCCTATATTTTAAATTGTAAGCTCTTGAAAGCATGACCTACCGGTCTTAAATTGTATTATAACTGTACTGTCTTCCCTCTTTATTATAAAGTTCTGAGAAAAGCTCCATTATAATAATAATAACTGTAAAATAACAAGCCTTTGATTAAAAAAAAAAAAGTTTAACCATCCTTTTGTTGGTCACCTCAAGCCAATCTACTCACAGGAAACCTGTCATCAGAGAAAGATGGATGGTAGAATTGTTGACCTCTTCTTCTTAACACTCAAGTTGCCTGGCTGCCATGCTGATGCTTCCCAAACTTTGGGTCACTGACCCAGAACAAGTAAGGAGATAATGAGTTTTGACTTTCCTCTGGGCTTTCATTTGTTGCATACTTGCAAGTATTGAACGAAGATACAGACGAGCGACCACCCTTTTCAGAAGCAGGTTGGCAATAAACTCCTATCTACTTTAAAGAAAATATGTCACTTTGCCCATTCAGAGCAAATTGACAGGATCCAGCTTCTCTTGATAACACCCCCCTCCCTTTCCCCTGCCCTCCACACACTAATGCTCACCTTACCCATGCATTCCCACACTGTTTCATTCCTATTGGAGCCCATATCCACTGATACTAACCATTGTCATGCTCGCCCACCATTCCATTCATCCGGTGGGCCCAGGGGCGTATTTACCACAAGGCAAACAAGGCATTTTTCAGGGGGGCAGTACTTCCCCCCAGAAGAAGGGATGGAAGAAGGGACACACGCACCATGGGAACCAGGTGGGATCTAAGGGAGGCTGCGGGCTGCTTGATGGTGTATGTAAAGCTTGACTCTCGTTCCCAGGGATGTCCAGAGCTGTAAAGATGAGTGACTTTCTCTCTATTTCCAGGGAAGGGGGGGTTAGTGGAAGGCTCTCCAAGGTGGGGGGCAGGGGTGTTATTGGTCAATGTCAGGCTCTCTCTGTGTGAGGGGGAAGGGGGGGGGGTGTTGGTTCTTGTCTGTGGGGGCATACAATCTTTCTGTTGCCTAGGGCAGCACAAAACCTAAATACACCACTGGTTGGGCCCCTGGAAAATACACAAGCTCTCTCCCCTTATCCCCAAAATGCAGTACCCAGGCCTGAGCAATTCATCGCCAGGATCAAACAGTGTCACTTGTGGAGGGGAGCAGGAGAGCTTACACAGGGGTCAGACATAGGGCTCCAATTAGAATGAAGCACTGTGGGAATTTGAGAATTTCAGCCATTGGGGGGCAGCAGAAGAAAAAAAATTACTTGCAAAATTCCATGATCTTACTAGGTATATACTGCTTCATAGGTGTGTTAAATGTTCGCTTATCCTTTAAAAACACATACCTGTCCTGTATCTGGCTCCGTCTTTAGTAGGTCTGTTGAGTACAGTCCGCTTGTTCTAAGAGATGGATCATTCACTTGCTGTAATAAAAATGGCAAAAGAAAAGTAAGCAATCAGGACCACTAAGTGGGCCTGTTTTTGTTGAATACACATGTACTAAAAGAAGTTTATCTTTTGATCAAACTGACCTCAGAGTCCTTAATATGGCCAAAAGATTGTGAACACCTGACCATAATAGCTACTATAAGATATTGTTATTGTACAAGGCTGGTCATCCATTCTTCCTAAGCTATTGTACGAGACTAGTGATCCATCCCTAGTAGGTTATTGTACAAGATCATCATAAGTGATTGCATACTACTGGTGACCCATCCTTCCTACATTATTGTAGGAGACTAGTGACTGATCCTTACTCGTGAATCATACTCCCTAAGTTATTGTACAAGAATAGTGACTCATCCTTACTAAATTGTTGAACAAGAGTGATTATACAAGACTAGCGACCCAATCTTCCTAAGTAATTGTACAAAACTGATGACCCATCCTTGTCAAGTTATTTTACAGATTTGTCATGAATGCCATGTAATGTAAGTTTTCTAGCAAACAGGATAATATCCTTCACCAACTCAAAGCAGTCAATATGTTGGGTGGGACCAAAACCTAATTCTAAGATACATTTCTCATCCTCAGATAGTGAATAAGAGGACAGATTGAAAATCCACATTCTATCATTACCTAGGTCTTCTTGACTAGAAATGGATCCAAATTCCCCATCCTCCTAGGATCCCCCAAAGGGTGAAATCCCAAAATTGACTGGTGACCCATCAGAAGTTTGACTGGTGACCCATCCTCTGGTGACTCATCCTCTTTAAGTTATTCTACCAGAAGACTAGTGGCCCATCCTTCATAAGTGATTATCCAATACTAATGACGCAGTCTTCCTACATTATTGTACAGGACTGGTGACCCATCCTTTCTAAGTTATTGTACAAGACTGGTGATCAGTAGGTTACTGTACAAAACTAGTGACCCATCCTTACCAAGTTATTGCACAAGACTAGAGACCCATCCTTACTAAAATATTGTACAAGAAGACCAGTGGCCCATCTTCCATAAGTGATTACACAACCCCGGTGACTTATCCTTCCTAAGTTATTGTACAAGACTGGTGACCCATTCCTCATAAGTCATTGTACATGACTGGTTACTTTTTATTCTTTAGTGATTATACAAATCTAGTGACTCTTCCTTCTGAAGTTGTTGTACAAGACTGGGGACCCATCTTTCCTAAGTTATTGTACAAAGCTGGTCACCCATCCTTCCTAAGTGATTGTACATTATTGGTGGCCTATCCTTCCTAGGTTATTTACAAGGCTTTTGACCCATCCCTCCTAAGTTACTGTACAAAACTAGTGACCCATTCTTCATAAGTAATTATACAATACTAATGACCCCTATGTCCTAAGATACTGTATAAGACAAGTAGCAATTATACAACATTGATGAACCTATCTTTTATTTTTTTTTTTTATTTATTTCAGGTATATATATAGCGCCATCAATTTACGCAGCGCTTTACATATATATTGTACATTCACATCAGTACCTAACCATCAAGGAGTGTACAATTTAAAGTCCCTAACTCACATTCATACATACACATGTGCTAACCATTTAGCCACTGTGCTGCACAATCTTTCTATGTTATTGTACAAAATTGGTGACCCATCGTCCTTAAGTTATTGTGCAAAAAACTGATGACCCATCCTTACTAAGTTATGGTACAAGATGATCGATGACCCATCCTTTATAAGTGATTATACAACACTGGTGAACCAATCTTCCTAAGTTATTGTACAAGACTGGTGACAATTCATCCCTAAGTTATTGTACAAGATTGGTGGCCCAATGTACAAGACTAGTGACCCGTCCTTATTAAGTTATTATACAATAAGAATGCTGGACCATCCTTCATAAATGATTAGACAACACTTGTGACCCGTTCTTTCTAAGTAATTGTACAAGACTGGTCACCCATCCTTACAAGGCTACAGAACAAGACTGGTCACCCATCCTTCCAAAGCTACAGAACAAGACTGGTCACCCATCCTTCCAAAGCTACAGAACAAGACTGGTCACCCATCCTTCCAAAGCTACAGAACAAGACTGGTCACCCATCCTTCCAAAGCTACAGAACAAGACTGGTCACCCATCCTTCCAAAGCTACAGAACAAGACTGGTCACCCATCCTTCCAAAGCTACAGAACAAGACTGGAAACCCATCCTACCAAAGCTACAGAACAAGACTGGTCATCCATCCTTCTAAAGCTACAGAACAAGACTGGTCACCCATCCTTCCAAAGCTACAGAACAAGACTGGTCACCCATCCTTCCAAAGCTACAGAACACGACTGGTCACCCATCCTTCCAAAGCTACAGAACAAGACTAGTCACCCATCCTTCCAAAGCTACAGAACAAGACTGGTCACCCATCCTTCTAAAGCTACAGAACAAGACTGGTCACCCATCCTTTCAAAGCTATAGTACAAGACCTGTAACCCATCATTCCTAAGTTATTATACAAGACTGGTGACCAGTGGTGTATTTTGTTTTTTTGCTGCCCTAGGCAACAGAAAAATCAAGCACCCCCCAAATTTAAAGAAAAAAAAAAAAAGGAGTGAGAGAGAGTAAGCAGCTGGCTATCCCTGGAGCCACAGACAGAGAGATGCATTCTTCCAGCACTCACCTGCACCTCTCTGGAATGAAAGCAGCCAACAATCCCCAGTGTTGCCCTTGTGTAGGAACAAGAGTTGGCCACTACCTACACCCTTTCTTGGATCCCATGGCAGAGCACAGTGTGCCTGCCTCACCTGGTCCCTGCCAGGTGAGTCCCTTCTTTTGGGGGGAGGAGTCGCCCCCCTGCAAAATGCCGCCCAAAGCAAACGCCTTGTTTGCCTCACATTAGATATAGCCCTGCTTGCGACCCATACTTTAGAAGTTACTGTACATGACTGGTGACCCATTACTCCTAAATTTTTGTGCAAAACTGGCTAAGCTAAGTGACTACAAGACTGAAGACCTATCCAAGCCTTCTTAAAAGAATGGAGACTGTTAAAACGAAAAGGATTTTTTTTTGGCAGGGAAGGGAGGGATGTCACATTAGTTTTGGAATGGGATATCCATTGGTCAGGTGTCCACAAACCTTTGCCTATATGCCTTTGCCTAACTGATATACTCTGAAGTACATAATAATTTCAGCATATAAATACAGGAAAAATATATATAACAATTAATCTAATGAGGCCCTCGGCACATGGCTATTAATATAAATCCAGCAGCGCCCTCTAGTGTATGGGTGACATACCTGTTCCGTACACATACTGTTCATGCTCTGCATGGGAAGGGAGCCCATCTGCACCTGCCCCGTCATCTGGTTCACATTCTGCACCCCATTGTTGGCTCCTCCCATGGACACGGTGATGCTCATGTTATTGTACATTCCTTGCTGGCCTGGAGCCGGTTGGTTCTGTCCTGTCTGGCCAAAAACGCTGTGCATGTAAAAAAAAAAAAAAAAATGTATCTTCAAGTTGCACCACCAAAAAAACCCCAGTACAATTACAGTAAGGTTTCCCCTCAATATACAAGGTGCTGCATACCTTTAGTGCCGCTTCTACATTTGTTACCCAGAAAAATGTTTGTGTCCCACTCTGATTTCATTTCAGTTTGTTACTGGGGCCTGACTTTTTCTAACTTCATGGCTAAGAGCTGCCAAATTCCATTCAAGTATCCAATGAACATGCCTCAGATGCCAACAGTTGATGGTGCATAGCCCTCAAGTTGAGAGTGGCTGCACTACTATAACAACCATCAATGTGCTCCCTCTTTCTTTTGTGTTCTTCTTTCATTTACTGTTTATATATATGTGAAAACCAATAAAAATTGTTAATACTAAAAAAAAAAGTCACAAATATAAAAAATAACTTAAAGCTGAACTCTAGGCATTAAAACACTTTGTTTAAATATATTCTTTAATAGCCACAAAGGGTATAGATCCACTTTGTGTGCAACAAATGTCTTTGCAAACTCAGAAATGACCTTGTAAAAATACCAGCGATATCATCACTGTGCTGTACATAGCCTGTACAGAGAGTAGAGCCGTGGAAGGGGCCCAGCAGGCTACACTACAGGAGGGGGGCGGGGACAAGACCAGGAACCCTACACAAGGAGAGAGAGCAGCAGTGATCGGTCTTTAGTACAGGACACTTGACACCTGGCTCTCACCTGGAGCTTCCCAGCGTGCTTTGCTGCCAGTTCTTCAGGTCAGGTGACTGATACCCGGCGTGGATGGCGTCTGCTGGAGCATGGGGCTCTGAGATGGCGTGATGCGAGGTGACATCAGAGGGCTGGTGGGGCTGAGAGATGGAGCGAATGTGGGATCCCCTTGTTGGTTGATTCCTGTGGGGTGACAACGGTGAGACTGTCATTTCACTGCAACAAATAGAAACTCCTCTTCCAGCAATTTGTGCTGGATTCAGGCAATTCAGTACAATAAGAAGTTTAACAATAAAAATCAACACTCTAGGCCAGGGGCGGACTGACAACTCATGGGGCCCCTGGGCAATAGGGGATCATGGGGCCCCTGTGTCCTTGCCCAAACTCAAAAAAGCCTATGAAAAAGATACCAGGGGCATCTCATGGGACCCTCTACTGACCCCGGGCCCTCGGGCAGTGCCCGAGTTTCCAAATGGTCAGTCCGCCCCTGCTCTAGGCAATATATTTCATTTTCCCACAGTAGGATACAGTCAAATTTAGTAGATCTTTCACAATGCCTATGGGAAAGATTTCAGTTGCTTGGCACTCTTGTGGTACTGTGCAAACTCAAATTTACATATCTCTGTAAGTTCTTGGTGAACAATAAGTATACCAGTTACTTACAATTTGGCCCTTGGTTCAGCCGATCTTGTGTCCTGGGCCGTGTCCTGGGATCACAGCATCAACCTTATTTATGTTACTGTGCATGCACAGTGATGTTGGGTAAAACTAGGGTGGGGGTGATGGGTAGTCCTGCATATTTAGAATAGGAAACTAAGTTGGGTCAATCCAGAAAGTAGGAGTGATTTGTGTGTGCCCACCTCAGAAAAATGTTTGGACGAATGGGGATTGTGGGGTGGTGAACAGTGTACTGGGGTCTGGGACCATAACGTTGGTATGCATGCAAATCCAGTTTAAACTATTTCAAATGTAGGCCAGAATGATGTCAAGCACAGATCTGAAAGAGGCCAACTGCAGATCAGGAGACCAACTGGAAATCAAAGGAGGTCAACCGTAGGTCTGAAGGAGGTCAACTGGGGATTAGAGGAAGGTCAACTGCAGATCTGAAGGAGGCCAACCAGAGATCAGATTGAGGTCAACTGGAGATCTGAAGGTGGCCAACTGGAGACCAGAAAGAGGTCACTTAGAGATCTGAAGAAGGCCAACTGGAGACCAGAGGGAAATCAACTGCAGAACAAAGTAGGTGAACTGCAGATCTGAAGACGACCAACTGGGGATCAGAAAGAGGTCAACTTCAGATCAGAAGGAGGTAAACTGCAGGTCAGATAGAGGTCAACTGCAGATAAGAAGGAGGCCAACTGGGGATCAGAAGGAGGCCAACTGGGGATCAAAAGGAGGCCAACTGGGGATCAAAAGGAGGTCAACTGCATGTCAAATGCTCCTGTCAGTGAATTCTGAATAATCTCAGACGTGTCTTAAACTGATGCCATCAATGTAAGCCCAAAGCCCGTCCACATATAGTGTAGGCCCTTAATCATCTTTAGGGGCACCATTTTCCTTGTTGATAGAGGTTTATAAAAATATTTTTCTGTTAAATATTTTGCCTCTATAATTTACATCTGGAGAGTTTTTTTCTTTTCTTATACACGGTTATTACTCTGTAACTGGTGGATCAGATATTTAATATTTAGCATAATAAATATGAAACACATGACTAATTAGCATGTCTTCCCTATTAGAGTATTTAACTTTTATACATCATAAAGTTAAAGACTTTAAAATCCTTTTCATTGTTATTGTCGAATTTGCGATTTTACCTTTATTTGCATCTCCAATTCTAAGAAGTGATACCATATCGGGGTCCCCTTATTTTACCTTTTTGTCTAAAACCTCCTATGACATTTTACTGTATCCCTTTAATAATATTAATATATAATTTAATTATTTTTATTTTTTATTTAATTCAATTGTAATTTTATTATTATTTTTTTAAAGGATATACTTTATTTTACAGAGTTCCTATCGTTTTATCTCTTCTTCAACTGCAGCTTATATTTCTGTTCTATTACTTGCTGTTTTTGTAAATATTCCAGCTTCCTTACTATCCTTGTCTTTTTCCCTGCCCTCATAACCCAATATGTTTTGCCTCTTTTCACAGCTTCATCAGGGCTTCAAAGGCTTTTCACAGCTTCATCAGGGCTTCAAGGTGCTCCTGACTGGTGCAATTCAACACACAAACTGTAATAAAAATGGCCATTGTAGATAATGATGATTGACCACTACTTGCATCTGGAGCTGTCCTATGGCTTATCTTTTGGATAGAACTCATTGCTATGCCAAGTGTGGACAAAATTTAATGTTTTTAAAAGTTCTTTAATGAGGTTAAGATGTAATAGTATTGAGCTCATACCTGCTGCTGAGTACTGAAAGACATTCTGCTGCATCTGTGTATTGATCCCAGAGCTGAACTGCCCTCCGACGCTTCCCATCATGCCTCGGTTGACCATACCGCCTCTGCCGGCCACTGTGCGGTTGGGCAGCGCAGCCTCAGGGGTTGTAGCCAGAGGCGAGAAAGGGCTGGTGGATGGGGGAGGGTTGACGGGGTTTGTACCATAACTGTGGGGGTAAGGGAACTGCTGGGGAGGGCCTTGCGGGAGCCTTGAAGCCGTCATGTTGACGGGCAGACCTCCTTGAGGGGGAAGGTTGTTGCCGAAGTTCTGCTGCCTCATTAGCATGGCTCTCTGCTGCATGAGTTGCTGCTGTCGGTGCTGCTGACTGTACAGTTCCCGCTGGCGCTGGGCCAGCATCTGAGCATTCAACGGGGGCTGTGAAGACCAAAGAGGACAAGATTAGACGGTTATCTCTGCTTGCCATCACTACACACCATTTCTCTCTATCATAAAACTTTAGAAAAGGAAGCTGGCAGAACTCTGAATAATTGAAACTCAAAATCTTGATTGATCGGAACAGAGTTGTCCCATCTAGGACCTCTATGCATATGCATTTCACCCACAACCTGGGCAAAACTGTAGGGTTACCACTACAAATAAGTACAGGTTGTGAGCAAAAAGCATCAAGGGAGGAGCTCCTGGAGGGAATGCTTTGTTTTCACTTTGTCCAAATCAATAAAGATTGTCAGCATTTGAATCCTTCATCAAGTGCCCCCTGCTATCTTCTTTTCTGTATTTGTGTGGATTGTTGGGTAGAGGACGAACCCCTGCTGGTGTCTAGCACCCTACTTTTCCAAAGGTGACCCAATTTCGGGCACAATCTACGTCTTTACTATATTACTTTGCTGGGGTTCTGGCCATGAGTAGCTTATGCCCAATAATGCAAAATTGTGTCAGTTAATTGACTGAAAACCAGCAGCTCCCTCTAAAGGCAGAAGGGGAACACTGGCTACCCTTTACCAGTCTTCTTCAATATTATTATTATTATACAGTATTTATATAGCGCCAATAGTTTGCTCAGCGCTGTACATTATAGTGGGAGACAGTACAGTAACAATACAATGCGATACACAAGGGGTTCGAGGGCCCTGCTCCTTGGAGCTTACAATCTAGGAGGGAGGGGAGAGTGGTACAGGAGGAAATAGCTGTGGGGAATGGAGTGGTGGGGAGAGTGGAGGAGATCAGCAGGTGAGGGCTGGGTAGGCTTCTCTGAAGAGATGTGTTTTCAGGGTGCTACTAAAGGTGAGGAGGGTAGGAGACAGTCTGATGGATTGGGGTAGCGAGTTCCAGAGGATGGGGGAAGCCCTGGAGAAGTCCTGGAGATGGGCATGGGAAGAGGAGACCAGGGAACTGGAGAGTAGGAGGTCTTGTGAGGAGCGGAGAGTGCGTGTTGGGTGGTAAATGGATATCAGGTCGGTGATGTAGTTCGGGGCAGTATGGTGGACAGCTTTGTACGTCAATGTTAATATTTTGAATTTTATGCATTGGGCAATCGGAAGCCAGTGGAGGGATTGGCAGAGGGGGGTGGCGGATACGGAACAGTTGGTGAGGTGGATGAGTCTGGCCGCAGAATTCAGGATAGACTGAAGCGGGGATAGCCTGTGTTGGGGTAGGCCAGCGAGGAGGGAGTTGCAGTAGTCAAGTCGTGATATGATAAGGGAGTGGATGAGTTGCTTTGTGGTTTCTGGAGTTAGGAACGTGCGTATTTTGGAGATGTTGCGGAGGTGGAGTCTGCATGAATTTGTCAGCGATTGGATCTGGGGCTGGAAAGACAGATTGGAGTCTAGAATGACACCTAAAAAACAATAAAAAACAAGTACAGCCTGCCCCAATAATCCACAGCAACCAATCAGAAATCAAAGACATTACTTGAATCCTATTATTATTAATATTATACAGGATTTATATAGCGCCTACAGTTTACGCAGCGCTGTACAACATAAGGGCAGACAGTACAATTACAATACAAATAGTACAGGAGGGATCACAGGGATCTTTTGTATTACCTGAGAACTGATGGCTTGCTGCATGGCTGGCCTCATCCCCATTGGCACCGTGTTCCCAACGCCAAACTGGCTAAGGATGGCCTGCCGGTTCTGGTGCAGAATCTGCAATGTTATCCAATAAAACATGAACAAATCAGCATGTACAGTACTCGGGAGCTGTCAGCACAGGATACATCTGCAGAAAAAAGGCCTTCTCTAAGTATAATTGGGCCAGATACATACTATATGTGACACATTACCTGTTGCTGACCCTGTAACCTCTGCTGGAGCTGTAGTCGGAGCTGATTAGACGCTGTTCCAGGACGAGCCATGGCTTGTCGGGGCTGCATGTTCATGTTGTTGGGATAAGGCCCTCTCTGTGGTGGGGGTTGCACCTGGACTGGTACAGGCCCATACGTATTCTTCTGTCTGACCATGTTGGAGAAGGGTCCGGGGAGACCCGGGTTGGGTGAGGCAGTTGGATAAGGTTGAGGATAGAGACCTGACTTCTGGTCCATCAGAACCGAGGCCACAGGAGTCTGCTGTTGGAACCTGTCAGTGACCACATCCAGACCACCTCCCTGGGGACGGGGGGGGAAGTAAAAAGAGAAACACACATCAATGTAAGTGTATAATTTCCTGATAGTCACCAACCACTGGACCTCTACATTTTAGACCTGCCATAGACTATCCCATAATTTCTAATTTACTGAATGAGTGTTTCTGAGCTCAAGCTTTGCTTGTAATTATCTGAATTTCTACGTGCCAATTGATTAGGGCGCTCTTCCACCTACCTCCACTATGGATCAAAGTACCTTGTGTGCACTGCCAGCACCATCAAAGTGACAAGCAGGCAATGTCACCTCTCATTTAAGTGCTTGTCCATCTGTTGCCACCCTTAGGCATGATGTCATAGACCAGCCATTATCAATTAAATTTCCTACAGAGGTTGCTAGGGTCTCCTTGAATTGTGGCTAATTGATCTCCCATTCGATAGCACTTGCAGTTTTGGGGGACAGCAACACTTGGAAAATGTAGTTACATAGAAACACAAGAAATACAAACTAGTGCAGCCAGTAAAATAACAATCCCCCCACCCCATCCTCAATTGTAATACAATGCCTCCAATAGAACAGAATCAGAATCCAAATGCCCCAAAATAACTACAAGTAAATGGACATATGGGTAGGAGACACTGAAGGCAAAGGAACTACTCATTTCGACACATAGAAAATGATGTATTATACCTGGTAAACACCATAGATTGAAGGAAAGAAAAATTGCTTGATTCCCCCATCAACAGTCAGTATTGATGAGGGAATCCCTCCCACTGAGGTGTTGTATTCTGACAGCAGGAGGTTTTCCAGCCAACAGAATACAATGATTACTTCCAGCAGCTATAGCCATTGGCAGTGATAGAAAATATAAAATAAAAAAAAAAAACCTGACAGGCTAGTTGTAATGAAGTTGATCGATAGGTCAACCAGCCTGCCCATGCATGGATCAAAATTCAGCCAGTTCCTGTTGAACTGTTTATGGCTCGATATAGCTAGATTGCCAGGGCCACCAAGTACCACCCAGTCATTTAGCAAACAAGGCCTAACAGTCAAATTGTGCCCCCTTCCTGCTTAATTACTCAAGACAGCCACCTTTTCTGTCTTCCATTGGCTGGCCCTGATCCAACCCTACTGTCTTGGTATCCTCCAAGTTTTAAAAAGTTTGGCGAAACCACAACTGATCAAACTTCTCAGAAGGAGATACCCATTAGTCTTTGTACTGCTTTGCTGAAAAGGCAAGGTAGCTTTCCAGTCACCAGGAAAATTTAATATTGGAAAACTTTGTGAAGCACAGTAAATAAAAGCTTACATGCTTTCTCTTGCTTCGTTGTGCATAGTCTGTAGACTCTTTGTATGAACTTTCTGTGGAGATGTGGACATTCCAGCAGCAACATTATTGCATTGAAGGGTGACAACCCCACAGCTGAAATGGTAAGAGTTGTTACCCTAGGAAATTAAGTAACCTGCTGGCATGATCATCAGGTATGATTTAATTGAATGCAAAAAAAAGGTTTCCATTTTCACATTACAGGAACATATGCAACAACATATATGGTTGAGGTGTTTTGGTTGATGGTATCTGCATAAAAAAACATCCTAAGGTTTAGTGTGACTTTAATGGTTAACTATCTGTAGGTGCTCTTTGGTTGTGTCTTGATAGCTGACATAACAATTACTGTATGCTCAGCTGCACTGGCCTCCAAAGCTGAAGGTCTATCCCTACCACAGGCCCGTCTCCAGGCCGGAGAGGCCCTCCATACCTGCACCAGCTTGTCAATCCCGAGGGCCCGGTCTAGCTCAGCCAGTTCGGTCTCGTCTTTGCCGCTGAGGAAGGACACGAGCTGTTCCAGCAGGATCTTCTCGTCATTCAGTCCTTCCGTGGTGGTGGGAGGACATAGAAAATCATCAATCCTAGAGAGGAAGACAAAACAGAAGAGATAAGAGAGCTGGAGGCACAGCCAGCCATGGCAGAGGGCACCAAAACCCAATCTGTGACATGAAATAAAGAGAAGTGGCCTGGTTTCACACATACATTGTCTGTACTCATTATATTGTGTGTGGGGTGACCTTACCCCTCATCTTATTACATATAACCTGCTGTATTGTGCATCAAATCATTAAAGCAGTCTTTCTCAAACTTCTAACTATAGAAGAACCCTTGGAAAAGTTTTCAGGTTTTGGAGAATCTCCGCTGATAGGTATTAGACCTGCAGCACACAGTATATTAATGTGATCAGAAGGTTTTAGATAAAAAGAAATAAAGAATGGGGCATGCTTAACACCCATCCCCCCCCACACACACACATACACACACACACTGACAGTGAAAATTGTAATAACCCTTTAAATTGGTGGCCCATGCAGGCAAATAATCAATCTGCTAATTTACTCTCATGAAGGAACCCCTAGCAATATCTGATAGAACCCCTAGTAATCTCTACAGGAACCCCTAACAATCTCTGGAGTAACTCTTGCAATCTCTAGAGGAACCCATATCTCTGGAAGAGCCCTACGCAATCTCTGGAGGAACCCCTAGAAACCTCTGGAGGAATCCCTAACGATTTCTGGAGGAACCCCTAGCTATCTCTGGAAGAATCGCTAGCAATCTCTGGATAAACCAATAGCAATTTCTGAAGGAACCTCTAGCAATCACTGGAGGAACCCCCAGCTATCTCTGGAACAGCGCCAGAGTTTTTCACGGAACCCTGGTTCAAAAAGCCTGCTTTAAAGGCTCAGTTCATCCAAAGCGGATATTTCAGTTTTTAGTAGAAGCTGAGCAGTTCCATCTCTCAATGACTTTATGGCTAAGATCTCTGTGGCTGAGATTTTGGTTCTGAGCCATCAGTCACTTCTTGGAGCCTAAGAAAGGCTCAGAACACTCTCCCTGCCTCTGTGCGAAAACATTGGGTGGTCAAAGTACCGGTTCACATCCAGGCAACGACAGATCTTGCTTTAAGATTGTCGTCTAATGTCTGTTGGTTGCTGGTGACCTCCAGTTTGTATTTTATGCAATTAAAGTATATCTATACCCAAGAACACACAGTTAATATACTGTACTTCAACTGTTTACTAGTCTTTGGTGGCTGCATTAGTGTTATTTTTTTTCCCAATTTGTTCTCATTATTACCTCTCTGTCCTTCCTGTCCTAGAGTGACAACGCTCACATATTCCACTGTATCTCTGGAGGTGCACTGTTGTTACTGCACTGCTGCACTCCTGATTTGGACTACAAACATCTCCTCTTCTACTGATCTCTATTACATGAAAAGAAGGTGTTCTATAGTACACAGATAGCTGGGAAAGATGATAACAAAGGTCTCCTAGCTATGAAATACCCTGTTTTTGTTAAGAGCAGCCTCACCAGAGCCAGTCGGTGGAAAGAATGATTGCCTTACAGTGGTGGTCCATGGGAAGAATGACCGCCTTACAGTGGTGGTCCGTGGGAAGAATGACCGCCTTACAGTGGTGGTCCGTGGGAAAAATGACCACCTTACAGTGATGGTCCATGGGAAGAATGACCGTCTTACAGTGGTGGTCCGTGGGAAAAATGACCACCTTACAGTAATGGTCCATGGGAAGAATGACCGTCTTACAGTGGTGGTCCGTGGGAAAAATGACCACCTTACAGTGATGGTCCATGGGAAGAATGACCGCCTTACAGTGGTGGTCCATGGGAAGAATGACCGCCTTACAGTGGTGGTCCATGGGAAGGATGACCGCCTTACAATGGAGGTCAATGGTAGGAATGCTCTTTACATTGGTGATAATGTCCCTTATAGACAGTTAAAAAAACATTGGTGTCTTGCAGCTGGCTCTGGCCCTGAAACTATGAAGGCACCATGAAATGGGAGGTCATTCAACTCCAGCCCAAAGAACCCCCAACAAACCCTGGTGGAACCCTAGGGTTGCATGGAATCCTGTTTGATGATAGCTGCTCTACGAGAATCTGTCACCTAATAGTTTTAATCATTTGAGAGATAGAGGACCAATGAGAAGCTGGTCAGAGATTTAACCTCTCTACCATGCCATGATTAAGTGTTCATATTTATTGTCAGATAGTTGTGGAGGAACAAGGATGATATGGGTTTTTGTCTACAAGACCAACACTACTAAGAACTGTTCTGACCTCATATGACCTTTCTTAGCACATGCTTCTTTTTCAGCCACAAGGGTTAAATCTGTTAGTCGGGAATTCCTGTCCGTTCTAAAGTTGCATGGAAATCATCATATGTAATGAATTAAAACAGGTCACAGTTGACCAAGGGGCCCCAGACCCCTCCCTCCCATAATGTCCCCCTCATCCCACAGTTTATCCGCTCCTGTGTGCGCATAGAAAAGGTATCGGGCTCCATGAAAATCTAATTACAGCCAGCACCGGTTTGGCTAATAAAATACTGCGATGTGGCAGGAAAACACAAGGTGGCTTTGATAGGGAATCCGTGGAGCACACAGTAACCAAGAGCTGAAATGTTTCTCCTTTTAGTGATAGATGAGTACCAGATGTGGGGAGCCAGAGCCTGCGCTGGAAGCAAAAACACGGCTGCAAATGGGACTCTACCAGGCTGCATTCAGCTTGCTGGTTAACTCCTTCGCTGTTGCCACCACAACTCAGGCATGGCCTTCCTATTTTACCTGCCAAAGATATTGTATTTCTGTCCATCCTGTCTTGAGATTTACACAGCTCTGCCACACAGGCCTGTCTGGCAGGGGAGGAGACCTGATTTTTCACTGCTGCAGATTAGTAGCACAAATAACCTGTGACTGGACAGTGAAAGGAGAATCAGCACGCTGACAAACTCATCTATCCATCACTCTGATCTCTCCTATCAGAATACTCCATGCATTGGACCACAGCTGTTTGGTTACTTGTGCTGCTTTTCTCTGATCCTTTCTGTACAGGAGCTGCAAGGGGCTGATACCAGGTCAAATTTGGGTAATTACACTGCTTGCATTTAAAAAAATACATTACGTTATATATAATTTATTATGGGTATGAAGTGCAGACCTACTCACCTATCACTTGCAAAGGAATGGTCACACAGAGTGCCTACTTTTGCTTTCTTTTTTTTTTTAAATCTTTCACATGAGCCTGTTTAGCTTTTGCTGCAAACTTCATCTTCAATTCAGGGATTTGCCCTGTAGTACTTTTTTCTGCCACTAGATGTCCTCAGTCTGGTAGGCATTCAGCCCACTTCCTTTGAGCCCAGGTCACCCTGGACCCGCCTACAGCCTATGAATGAAAAGAGACAGGAGAAGCAGCACAGTGATTAGCTGATCTCTCTGTCAATCTGCTGTTTCCTCCCATCAGCTTGCTCCTTAAGGTAAATCCAGTTTTTGAACCAAGAGTAGCTGCTGTTTGTGTTCCCATACTTTGCAGATTGAGGGCTTAAAGCCCAACTCCAGCCAAAATGTAAACAAAGGATAGAATACTCTCCCAATAGTACCTAGTCCCTGACAGCATAGCCTTTACTGCTTTTGAGGCTGAGCCAACCTGGACACTCATATACATAAATGGTGGACATGTCCAAAAATCCAAATATTTTGGACAAAAATGTAAATTTAATACTGTATCTTCTGGACACCAAGATCCATCCAGATTCCCCCATGGCACTCCTAAACAAATGCCTCCCCAGACATCACCAGTGAAAAGTTTGAAGCCAGGTTAATAGACAGAATATTCAAATACACCAAGATATGGCAGCCATGGGTTAAAATTCTTACCATTCTAAAGCCATGATATCCTACTTCCCGTTATCACAAGCATATGGTGCCATGACCCTTCTTGAAGGGTTCTTTCTGTCCTGGATTTCCTAAACGCCCTTCTTCTCCTGTATTTCTCCTACTTCCTGCCCCTTTCTGATACCCCCCAATGCATGTCTACAACATTGTATGGTTTACTCAACATGTTGGAGTTTGGAGCCTTTGAACATTTTGCTTGCCCAGCCTGATGATGTAATAAAGCAGTATTTACTCATGCCGGATCGGTGTCTTTGGTCATCTTGATTGTACGGCCTGCTATGACGTAACTCTTGCGCATGTGCACTGGAGTTTATTCACCTGGTATCAAGGAATTCTGGGGTTTGGCTCCTTTGACAATCTTGATTGTCTGGCTTTGGATGACACAAATCATGCATGTGCACTAGTATTTATTCACCTGGTACCGAGACATGCGGAGGTTTGGCGCTTTTGGCCACCTTGATTGTATGGCCTGGAATGGGTGATGAAAATGAGCACCTCAATTTATTTACTCCGATACCAGGGCATGCTGGGGTTTGGCATCTTCAGCCAACATGACTGGCTGGCCTGGTATGATGCAACTACTGCACATGTGCACCTGAATTTTTTTCACCCTGGTATTTCTGGGGTTTGGCACCTGTGGCCATCTTGATTGTCCTACCTGGGATGATGCAACTCCCATGTTTGTGAACCAATATTTATCTACTGCTGTACCAAGGCATGCTGGGGTTTGGTGTCTTTGGCCATCTTGATTGTCTGGCCTTGGATGATGCAACTCCTGTGCATGTGCTCCAGTATTTATTAACTTGGTATCAAGGCATGCTGGAGTTTGGTGTCTTTGGCCATGTTGGTTATCCGGCCTTGGATGCCGCAACTCCCATGCATGTGCACCAGTATTTATTCACCTGGTGCTGAGGTAGGCTAGGGTTTGGTGTCTTTGGCCATCATGATTGTCCAGACTGTGATGATGTAACTCCTACAAATTTGCACAGGAATTTATTCACCCCAGAACCAAAACATACCAAGAATTGACATCTACAGCCATCTTGACTGGCCGGCCTAGAATGAGGCAACTCCCGCACATGTGCACCAGAACTTATTCACCCGTGGCACCAAGGCATGGTACATTCTATCATAAAGTTGAAAGCAGAAAGGAAAGCAGGGGGTTTCTTTCGGGGTGTTTTTTGTTGCAGGAGACACAGTATGACTCTTCTGTAACAAAAAACCTTCATGACTTTTTTCTGGGCAAAGTTCCACTTCAATTGGAACTTCAGGCAAAATATAAAAAGTATCCTTTTCTAAAGTTCTGTATCCACCATTAAAAAAAATGAAATGTATTTTTTCAATACATCTAGTATAAATACCTAATCCTGTCTTTATACTGGCTTTCTATAGACCACTATACAGCAGCAAGGAGGGAGGGGGACACTGCGTGTGCTGTTAGTGTAACATAGGGAAGATGAGAGGCCTATGGAAGCAGAATGTCAGCAGCCAATTTTTTCTATGGCTATGCATATGATGGATGTGAACCATTGCCATGACATTGAGAGAAAAACAAAAATATACACACACACACTACAGAGAATTCTGCGGTCTCATGAAACGCATTCTAACCCACCATTAGCCACTAGATGTCACCCCCCCAACTCAGCAGGCGAATAAGTAGATTATGGGAATGATGAAGGCCAAAAAAAGAATTCTCAGCTCTGCCGTGATCCTATTATGCCGGGGAGCTCAGGTGCCTTTGATTCCCTGTGAAAAGTAAGCAAAGGGGAGCGGGGGCTCGCCTAAAAAGAGGGGGATTAGTGCTCCGCGCTCCCTGGAGGAGAACATATTCTCCCATTGGTCTGCACTAAACTCCCAGAAACTTCCCAAAGCTTTGTAAGGAGCTCAGACCCAAAAGAATAACAGGCCGCCGTACGCCTGCTAAAAATAGCAGGAGCGGCAGAGCCATGGTCTGTACTGGGTGTCCTCAGAGGACCCAGGGGGCCAGGTGCCGGTTCTGGAACACCAAAGCTGCACAGTCACATGTATATATATATACATACACGTTCTATTTATAGATCTATATCTGTCCATCCTTCTCATATCTATCTATCTATCTTGTATCTGTCCATCCTTCTCATATCTATCTATCTATCTTGTATCTGTCCATCCTTCTCATATCTATCTATCTATCTATCTATCTATCTATCTATCTATCTTGTATCTGTCCATCCTTCTCATATCTATCTATCTATCTATCTATCTATCTATCTTGTATCTGTCCATCCTTCTCATATCTATCTATCTATCTTGTATCTGTCCATCCTTCTCATATCTATCTATCTTGTATCTGTCCATCCTTCTCATATCTATCCGTCTATCTATCTATCTATCTATCTATCTATCTATCTATCTATCTATCTATCTATCCTTCTCATATCTATCTATCTATCTATCTATCTATCTTGTATCTGTCCATCCTTCTCATATCTATCTGTCTATCTTGTATCTGTCCATCCTTCTCATATCTATCTATCTTGTATCTGTCCATCCTTCTCATATCTATCTATCTATCTATCTATCTATCTATCTATCTATCTATCTATCTATCCATCCTTCTCATATCTATCTATCTATCTATCTATCTATCTATCTATCTAGTATCTGTCCATCCTTCTCATATCTATCTATCTATCTTGTATCTGTCCATCCTTCTCATATCTATCTGTCTATCTTGTATCTGTCCATCCTTCTCATATCTATCTATCTATCTTGTATCTGTCCATCCTTCTCATATCTATCTATCTTGTATCTGTCCATCCTTCTCATATCTATCTATCTATCTATCTATCTATCTATCTATCTATCTATCTATCTATCTATCTATCTATCCATCCTTCTCATATCTATCTATCTATCTATCTATCTATCTATCTATCTATCTATCTAGTATCTGTCCATCCTTCTCATATCTATCTATCTATCTTGTATCTGTCCATCCTTCTCATATCTATCTGTCTATCTTGTATCTGTCCATCCTTCTCATATCTATCTATCTATCTTGTATCTGTCCATCCTTCTCATATCTATCTATCTTGTATCTGTCCATCCTTCTCATATCTATCTATCTTGTATCTGTCCATCCTTCTCATATCTATCTATCTTGTATCTGTCCATCCTTCTCATATCTATCTATCATGTATCTGTCCATCCTTCTCATATCTATCTATCTTGTATCTGTCCATCCTTCTCATATCTATCTATCTATCTTGTATCTGTCCATCCTTCTCATATCTATCTATCTATCTATCTATCTATCTATCTTGTATCTGTCCATCCTTCTCATATCTATCTATCTATCTTGTATCTGTCCATCCTTCTCATATCTATCTATCTTGTATCTGTCCATCCTTCTCATATCTATCCGTCTATCTATCTATCTATCTATCTATCTATCTATCTATCTATCTATCTTGTATCTGTCCATTCTTCTCATATCTATCTGTCTATCTTGTGTCTGTCCATCCTTCTCATATCTATCTATCTATCTTGTATCTGTCCATCCTTCTCATATCTATCTATCTATCTATCTATCTATCTATCTATCTATCTATCTATCTATCTATCTATCTTATATCTGTCCATCCTTCTCATATCTATCTATCTATCTATCTTGTATCTGTCCATCCTTCTCATATCTATCTATCTTGTATCTGTCCATCCTTCTCATATCTATCCGTCTATCTATCTATCTATCTATCTATCTATCTATCTATCTATCTATCTATCTTGTATCTGTCCATTCTTCTCATATCTATCTGTCTATCTTGTGTCTGTCCATCCTTCTCATATCTATCTATCTATCTTGTATCTGTCCACCCTTCTCATATCTATCTATCTATCTATCTATCTATCTATCTATCTATCTATCTATCCATCCTTCTCATATCTATCTATCTATCTATCTATCTATCTATCTAGTATCTGTCCATCCTTCTCATATCTATCTATCTATCTTGTATCTGTCCATCCTTCTCATATCTATCTATCTTGTATCTGTCCATCCTTCTCATATCTATCTATCTTGTATCTGTCCATCCTTCTCATATCTATCTATCTTGTATCTGTCCATCCTTCTCATATCTATCTATCTTGTATCTGTCCATCCTTCTCATATCTATCTATCTTGTATCTGTCCATTCTTCTCATATCTATCTATCTATCTTGTATCTGTCCATCCTTCTCCTATCTATCTATCTATCTATCTATCTATCTATATCTATCTATCTATCTATCTATCTATCTATCTATCTATCTTGTATCTGTCCATCCTTCTCATATCTATCTATCTATCTTGTATCTGTCCATCCTTCTCATATCTATCTATCTATCTATCTATCTATCTATCTATCTATCTATCTATCTATCTATCTATCTATTATCTATCTCATGCTCTCTCTCTCTCTCTGTGTAGTACATTGGTATATCATGTTGGTCCTCTCCTCTCTATAGGTCTTGTTTTTCTGCCTCTCCAGCGGTTGCAGGGTTTAGAGGACAACATATGGTTGGGGCCCAGGGAAGGGATAGCACAGACCACAACAATACTATGGCCGGCGTACAGGCCGATGTATTTTTCACTTACTGCACTCCCTGACATGCATATTCATGAATATTCCAATAAAGACACATCGGGTCAATCTAGTTCGGCATCTGAAAACACTTTGTGGGAAGATTGGTGTGTTCCCGGGTTCTGTACTATGATAATGAGTTTATTTAGAGAAACAATTTGCTAGAAAAAAAAATCACATCAGCTATCTTCAGAGTGTTCAGAGTCAAAAAGGTTCAAAATCACAGTATATAGTATATATGATATACGCATATGAAAAGGGCGGAACAGGGACAGTCAGGCTAGGGAGAAAAGGGCTAGATGATGCTGGAAATCCTCCATTCAGAAAGGTGGCAGGCTTTATGACCCCATAATGAAAGGGTAACTTTAAGACCAATCCATTCCTAGCATCTATCTGGCCCAGCAGGGGATATGCGATTCAACAAGAATACTAGTGACATAAACAGAAGTATATGCTTTAACATTATAGGTTGAAGTGACGCCCTTGTAAACCTACACTCTCACACATTCAATCTCCAGGTCGTCTTGGGGTACTCACTCTTCCTGTGTGCTTGGAGTCACGCGGTTCAGAGGTGTCAAGCTATCAGACCAGGGTATTTGGTCAGTGATTCCAGAATGTCCGAATTGGTCCGTAATTCCCAGGTCTGGGTCTGGGAGACCTAAGGGGTAAAATAAATGGTTACCAAGAGCCACCAAGAAAAAAAAAAGCAATATAGAGGATATCATTATACACCCCACCTCTAAAAATGCTAGTTGTCTGGCAGTCAGGTATATTGTCTGCCTTCAATAATTAGTCACTGACCTTGTATAAGTATGCAGATAAGGATTTCTGACTTTTTTGCCTATTTTCCTGATATGTACACTTTATTGTGGTCAGCAACACAAAGTATTGAAGTCCGGGAGTTAGAATGACGTTTTTGGACATCTGATTATCACACGTTCTATATGGACAACAGTATGTGGATTTCCCTTCAAATAATAAAGTTCAGATGTTTCCAGGGAAGGATACAGTTAATGTTACAACATACAGAGACATTTTAGACAATTGTGTCCTTCCAATATTGTGGTAGCAGTTTGGGGAAGACCACTTTTTGTTCTTCCAGCTCCCAAAAGATATTGTTTGATCAGTTTGGTGTGGAAGAACTTGGTTTGCCTGGACAGAGCCCTGACCTTATCCATACTGAACACCGTTGAAATGAATTGGAATGCTAATTGGGAGCCATATCTTTTCCAACATCAGTACCTGGCTTCAACTCTACTGAACACTTCTGGGGTGAACTGAAACACCACTTGTGATCCAGATCTTCTCATCCAACATCAGAGCCTGACCTAAACTCTATTGAACACCTTTGGGATGAAAAGGTACGCCAATTTTGAGCCAGGTCTTCACTTTCAATACCAGTACCTTTCCTCGACCCTACTGAACACCTTTGGGATGAACTAAATAGCAATTGTGATCCAGATCTTCTCAGCAAAAATCAGGACCTGACCTCCACCCTACTGAACACTTTTGGAATGAACGCGAATGCTAACTGTGACCCGGGTTTTCTCATCCAACATTAGTTTTTAAACTCAACCCCACTAAACACCTTTGGGATGAATTGGAATTCTGATTGTAAGCCATATTTTCTCTTCCAACATTACAGTACTACCTGACCTTAACTCCATTAAACACATTTGGGAAGAACTAGAAGCCAACTGTGACTGAGGTCTTCTCATCCAACATAAGTGCCTAAACTCAATCCTACTGAACAACTTTGGGATGAATTAGAAAGCTGATTGTAAGCCAGTCTTCTACAACATCAGTACCTGACCTCAACCCTACTGAACACCTTTAGGATGAATCCGAATGCCATTTGTGAGCCAGGTCTTCTCATCCAATATCAGTACCTGACCTCCACCCTACTGAATACCTTTGGCATGAACTAGAATGTCAATTGTGATCCAGATCTTCTCATTCAACATCAGTGCTTGACCTCAACTCTAGTAAATGTATTTCAAGTAAATTGGAATGGTGATTGTGACCCAGGTCTTTCCATCCAACATCAGTACCTGACCTCAACTCTACAGAACACCTTTGGGATGAACTAGAATGCGAATTGTGACCCAGGTTTTTCCATCCAACATCAGTGCCTAAACTCAACCTGGCTGAACACCTTTGGGATGAATTGGAATTCTGATTGTGAGACAGATTTTCTCTTCCAATATCAGTACCTGACTATAGCTCCATTGAACACATTTGGGAAGAACTAGAAGTTATTTGTGACCCAGGTCTTCTCATCCAGCATCAGTGCCTGACTTCAACTCTACTGAACACCCTTGGGATTAATTGGAACACTGATAGTGAGCCAGGTCTTCTCATCCAACATACTGTAAGTACCTGACCTCAACCCTACATAAACACCTTTGGGATGATTTGGAATTCCATTTGTGAGCCAGGTCTTCTCCTCTAACATCAGTAACTTAGCTTGACACTACTGAACAATTTTGTGATGAACTAGAATGCTAACTGTAACTCAGTTCTTTCTATCTAACACCAGTGCCTGACCTCAACCCTACTGAATACTGTTGTTCTTTATTTGGAAGATTGACTGAGACCCAGTTCTTTTCATTCAACATTAGTATATGACCTCACAAATGGGTACAAGGGTACAAATGCTCACAGACACCCTCCAACATCTTGTGGAAAACCTTCTCAGAAGAGTAGGTGAAACTCTGTAATACTGACCATGGTTTTGGAATAGGATGTCCAACAAGCTCATATAGGTGTAACGATCAGGTGTCTACAAACAAAAGGCTTCAATGGGAATGTAAAAATCTATGCACAATGTGTGATAAAAACACACGTTCTCAAATTTGTCCTAAAGCTTTATGAACAGGGAGTCTGTTTCAATACACATTACGCAGCCATGGTCCACTGTTGTCACCATCAGGAAACCTGCCCTGAGGAATGCTATGCAGCCATCTTTGGATTACATGTAGGCAAGAGATAAGCTGCACTGAGAGGTAACAAAAGATTAAAAAAAGGTAATTTTTTTTTTAACTGCAATTGTTTGTGCAGTGTTTTGTCAAACTAAATGGCATTCAGTTGGGCTTTACATTTACTTTAATTCTTCCATGTTTCCATTGCTCATGATGCCTGAGAACAGGCAGAAGGACCTACATTCTGGAGTGCAGGCTATTACTCAGTCTCATCAGACGTCCTCTTTATCTGCAGCTATAATTTTAAAGCCGCAAGATGCTTGGGTTTTCTTCGCCCGGTGGGAGGACGTTAACACGCGCATACGCACTTCTGTCACATATCACATTTTCCGCTTGGTCCTCCATATGTAAACCGTGTTCATATAAACAGGTCTGCGATGAAAGCCAGATGCCCCATGGGGCCTAATCTGTGTTTGGGCACTTACCACACAGATTACAATTAAAAACACCCATAATAAGCCAGAGCTTGGTCTGCACACATCCAAGTGACAGAATTCGCTGTGGTGGACTACGGCAGATTTGTGAGGACCCCGGAGTAAGGGAAACTTTCCCTGCCCTCCTGAGGAGGGTTAAACTGTGCCAAGTCACTCCTTGTTTTACATCAAACTAGGGAAGCACAATAATGGTTCACAATGATGTTTTTGGTGCTTTTACATTTATATTGCGTTGCATTCCATAAAGCTAATGTAGGGACCCTACTATAGCCAGCCTGAGCTTTGTTTATGTTATCTGGGATCATTGGGTTTAAGTCCTAAGCCCAAGGGCATCCTTTGCTTCTGTCTGCCATTGTTGACTGTTCCCCAGCAGAGAGGGTGAGATATTTTGAGATACGGATATTTATTCTGCCTCGGCCAATCACTGAGGTTTATGCCCAAAAAGTATTTGGAGAGACCTTCCAGAAAAGTATTTGCCTCCCAGGCTCTGCCTGGTGAGGATTTGAGTGTAGCAGGGTCTAGCCTGTCCCTTCCCAGGCCTTGCTTGAAGAGCACCTCATGTGGAAGCTCCGTGCCTCCCAGACTTCTGTCTATCAAGGGTGTAATCTAGGTCCAATATTTGTTTCCCAGACTTTTCCAGGAGAAGATGTAATGGTGGAAGGTCCTTGACTCCCAGGCTGCTGTCTTGGGAGGATGTAGCCCCAAAGAGGTTCAATCTTTGCCTTCCAGGCTATACCTGGAGAGGATGTAGTGTGGAAGGACCTTGCCTCTCAGGTTGCCATCTAGTGAGGGTCTAATTCCAGAAAAGTCCAATCTTTGCTCCTAGGCTTTGCATGGAGAGGATGTACTGTGGATGATCCCAGTCTCCCAGGCTGCTCTCTAGGGACAGGGAAGCTCCATACAGGTTCATGCTTTGCCTGGAAAGAATGTGGTGTGGAAGGTCTTTGTCTCCCAGGCTGCTGTCCGGAGAAGATGAAGCTCCAGAGAGGTCCAGTACCTGCTTCCCTAGCCCTTTACCTGGAGGAAGAAGCAAGATCCAAGAAAGGGTGTTTGCGCTATTGTTTGACAAGGTCTAGTGTGTCCTAACCTAGCCTGAGGCTGAAGAAAATGAAAATCAGCCTTTCACCTGAGCCTACAGAATCTACATTAGCCTGTGGAAGAGTCCTAAAGATGACCTGTGGCAGAGGTCAAAAGATACTGGAAGATGTTAGCCTGCCTCAGCTTAAAGAGTTCCCTGAGAAGTCCATGAAAAGGATTTTTTGCTGCTGTTTAGGGAATCCTGTACCCCAAACCCTCCCTCTCTAAGACTCACTCCATAAAGCAACTGAAAAGGATTGAAGAACCTAAAGTCTGTGTGTCAGCTGCGATTGGAGGGTCAGTAAGTTGTCTAGATACAGCTAAAGAGCAGATTGCTATTAGGAAGATTAGGAGAGCCTACAAAAAATCCAAAAGCCTCTCCAGGGGGTATTGCTATGCTAATTATATACATCTATTCCTACCTGAATTTTTTTTTTTGTATTAAATTATAATTTTTCTATAGATCATTTTAAATTAATAGATTGTCTGACCAAGCTATCGTTTGTAATTATATGCAGAGCCAAGGTAATGTCCAAATGATTGAGCCAGTTTTGGGGGAAGCCAATAAACAACATACCAGGAACCAGGGTGGCAAAATAAAAAGAGAAAAAGAGCAATGGCAATGCGCGTTATTGTATTTAATAACCAAAGGGAGCAAATAAGAGAAGGTTTGTTAAAAAGAGAAAAAAAGAAAAACACTGACCTGACCTAGTGACAAGAAAGGGAGTAGTTGATTCATTGTTAGGAAGGGAATACAGAAAGTTCCACCATCAGACACAATTTAATAAATGATGGCAAAAGCGGTGTGGTCATAGAGTGCTCTACAATAAAAATGGCCAAGTGGTGGAGTATATGATTTATTTCTAGCCTTGCCTGCCTACTTTGTTGGAGTGTGAGAGAAACCCATACAAACATATGGAAAGTATAACACCTCCAAAAAGATGGTGATTTCTGCAGGTAGCCAAATTCAGAACCTCAATGCTCTCTATGGCAAAAAAAAGAAAAAAAAATGGATTATGGGGGTCATGAGGACCAAGGTTGAGCACCAAGCCATACAATTAGGAGCATAATTCTTACCCAAGCCACGGATCATCTGTAACATGAAAAGCAGAGGTAACTGCATGCAAACGCTGTTTGTCCAAGGTGTTCTGTGGTTTTGTAAACTTACCAGGATCTGTCTGAAAGGCGGTGGTCCCTGACACAGCTACCCGACTCTGCTCCGGAGTAAGTCCAGACCGAGGACTGGTATCATTAGGTGCTGGAAATGGGTTCAAGTCCATGTGCACGGGATCCAATGGATCACAGAATCCAAATGGTGACTGACCTGCATCAATGCCATTAAAGTCTGTGATAAAAAAAACAAAACAAAAACCACATATGACCATCATTAATTATGTCAGTAGAGATACCAAGCTATCAATCATAATTTACACATTGTTCTTCTGTGTCTGGTCAATTGGTACAATGAGATGTAAAATTACCAGCACTCCAGGTGTAGATTGCACACATTTATCATGAAAACAAAGATGGATAAATCAGAAATAGCCAACGTTTCTAGGCCTCACATGGTCCCTTTTCTCAGTCTTTCATCACTATTTCACCTTGACTACAGAACCATGTTAGGCCCCGAAATGTTGACTTTCATCTATTGCAGTCACTAAAAGCACCCACTGATTATAGCAGTCACATGCTGGAAGCTCTCATGACGGACATTTTATGATCAATGTGTACTTGTAATAGTATTTTTCAGAGAGAAATAAGGAGGCTGCCATAGTAGCTGTAGCATGCGCTGCGACCACACCCCGGGCAACAGCTTCGACAGGCTGGCCAAACCAGGTTGAGAGTATCTGTTGGGTCATTGACCATCAGTGAGATAAGGACTTGTCTATCCCAAGCATGTGAAGACAGATTCTGGCAGATTGAGCAGAAGAAACCTACTAGAATAGGACAAATGTTCATGAAGGCGGTCTCCGCAAGTGATGTGGTACGCTAAGAGCATGCAAGACACAAAAGGCGCCCTGGAAAACCACTGCACCCAGCCCATCTCCAACTGTCTCGGCTCTTGTACTGCCCTTGGATCAAGATGGAATCTGGCAAGAGAGAGTGAGGCTGACTATGCGCACCTCTCCTTCACTTTAATCCAATGCACGTGCAAGTCTTGATATTGTCAAAAGTATTGGGCCAGCCCTCCAAATCATTGGATTTAGGTGTTCCAATCACCTCCATGGCCACAGGTGTATATATTCACGCACCTAGGCATGCAGACTGCTTCTACATCATTTGTGAAAGGATGGGTCGCTCTCAGGAGCTCAGTGAATTCAAGCGTGGTCCTGTGATAGGTTGCCAAGTGCGATAAATCCATCCCTGAAATTTCCTTGCCACTAAATATTCCACGCTCAACTGTTAGTGGTAACAAAATGGAAGCCACTGGGAACAACAGCAACTCAGCCATGAAATGGTAGGCCACGTAAAATGACAGAGCGGGGTCAGCGCATGCTGAAGTGCACAGTGCGCAGAAGTCACCAACTGTCTGCAGAGTCAATAGCTAAAGACCTCTAAACTTCATGTGGCCTTCAGATTAGCACAACAACAGTGCGTAGAGATCTTCATGGAATGGGTTTCCATGGCCGAGCAGCTGTATCCAAGTGCAATGTAAAGCGTCGGATGCAGTGGTGTAAAGCATGCTGCCACTGGACTATAGAGCAGTGGAGACGTGTTCTCTGGAGTGCCGAATCATGCTTCTCCATCTGGCAATCTGATGGACGTGTCTGGGTTTGGCAGTTGCCAGGAGAACGGTACTTGCCTGACTGCATTGTGCCAAGTGTAAAGTTTGGTGGAGGGGGGGTTATGGTGTGGGGTTGTTTTTCAGGGGTTGAGTTTGGGCCCCTAGTTCTAGTGAAGGGACTCTTAAGGCGTCAGCATACCGAGACATTTTGGACAGTTTCATGCTCCCAACTTTGTGGGAACAGTTTGGTGATGGCCCCTTCCTGTTCCAACATGACTGCGCACCAGTGCACAAAGCAAGGTCCATAAAGACATGGATGAGCGAGTTTCTGTTTCACCATAACAAGAATGATGAAGCGGCTGGGGCCATGATAAACATGGAGTGCGCACCTTCACCAAGTCAGGCCAATGTTGCATCTACCCAGACAGTATCATTTAGCTAAACCTACAGCTCTATTTTTCAGATTCAAGGTTGTTAGCTAGCTTCTGATCAGGGGAGGACTGACAACTCATGGGGCCCCCCGGGCAATAGGGGATCATGGGACCCCTGTGTCCTTGCCCAAATTCAAAAAAAGCCTATGAGAAAGGTACCAGGGGCATCTCATGGGGCCCCCTACTGATCCCAGGCCCTCGGGCAGAGCCCGAGTTTCCAAATGGTCAGTCCGCCCCTGCTTCTGATACAAAATAAAATATCTATTCTTTTCATTTATACTGCTTTGTAATTATTTCTGGTTGTGTCCGTATACATGACCCAGGTGATTTCAGCTTGGGACTTATGTTGAGGTTCCCTTCGTATTTGCAGACTGGTGGTTGATTTTATGTATCAATAGTTTTTAATCTGTGTTTGTGTGCTATTTGCATTAGTATATGCTTCTTGAGCTGAATGTTTTTCTACTTTGATGCAGAATACTTGACTATTGCACCAGAGATAGGCTCGTCCACTTCCCCATTACCACCATTACCGTTCCGTGCCAACCCCCTTCCCCTTAACCAATTATACTAACAAAAGACATAACACCAATTTTGGAGTAAATGGCCAACATGGCCTTTTATTAACAACTCAAGTTACAATACACCAACCATTCCTTATAACAGAAACCCACAGAATTGTTGTTGGTCTTCGAAGGCACCCCAAAATGATCCGAAATGCACCTGCGGACAACCATATACACTAGGCCTCCAGCCGCAACCAACCAGCTCGGAGACAACCATACCGTCCGCAGTGCAGCACCACCACCTTCCAGTTAAACCTTGGTTAACTGGGAATGTCCCCGGGCATCCCATACCACGGATGGGTCCCACACCATTGTTGTTTACCTTCCAAATAAGAATCGCCTCCAAAGACCAACAACCGCCACCAATCATTCCTTATAACAAAAACCCACAGAATGATTGTTGGTCTTCGAAAGGCACCCCAAAACGATCCAAAATGCACCTGCGGACAACCATATACACCAGGCCTCCAGCCGCAACCAACCAGCTCGGAGACAACCATACCGTCCGCAGTGCAGCACCACCACCTTCCAGTTAAACCTTGGTTAACTGGGAATGTCCCCCCGGGCATCCCATACCACGGATGGGTCCCACACCATTGTTGTTTACCGTCCAAATAAGAACAGCCTCCAAAGACCAACAACCGTCCATGAACCAACATAATCCCCCCCTCTACCTGTAGGGACCCAAAACTCACCCAAACAGGGAGGGCGGGAGGGAAGCTCACACTCTTGCTGTCCAGCTAACTGACGCCCCCTCAAAGAACCTCTCACCCTAAGGTGCAGCAAAACCCCACCTACACCAACCTCTACCAATCAGCTACCCCCCACTAACAATACCAAATCCCCCTGGAGCTACCTTAACCCTTTCTGCTCTTCCTTCCCCCACTCTGGGCCTAGTCATGTATGCCCTGCGCTATTTCTTCTTTATTTCGCTACGGGCATTTCTTTACTTATGGTGTTATTTTCAGCAGTGCCAAATTCTTTTTTTTGGGGGGGGGGGTAAGATTTCCTTTGTGGTTAGGAATGGAGTAAAAGTCTTTTATTCACAGACCAAGCCAGAAGGTTGAAGAGCGGAGCTAGATATGGAGAAGTTTTTTTATGTACAAAGAACTTTTTATCACAATGAATACTTTGGTTGTTACAGTGATCACAGACCTGGCACAGTAATGAAACACAGGTCAGGAAGTGTCTACATTTATGGACATCTGATCCTCTCTTTATATAGATGCCAAGTAACAAGGTACATCAGAAGCGATACAAGGCCCATGGGGCAGCACTGTGCCTAGCACCGCCGCCTTGTAACACTAGGGTTCTGGACTTGATTTTTACTGGCTACTCTTTTCTGTTGGAATTGGTATATTCTTCTCCTTATTTGTGTTGGTTAAAACAGCATGCTGGCAGGACTGACTAACTTGACCCTGGATTACATGGAAATTGTCCTTTATTTGCCAGGACAGTCCTACATCTTGACCCTCTGACCGGCAGGGTTATAGATACGATGGAGGATAGGGGGGTCCAAATCCCCCAAAGCATCCATGTTTCTCCTGTTACTCCTGACAATTGCTGTGCGCCAGAAGCACTGCTACCTGTCAGATATCAGAGACAGACAGGGGCAGATCATAGGCAGGGAGCTCCTCCTTGTTTATGGTCACATGACACACCTGTCACCAGTCCACTCTTAAATGCCTGGTTTTGAGAGTGGATTTCATGGGGAGGGGGAGATATACTGGTGGGAGATCTGTTGGTGGGGGAGATCTGTACTATGGAGAGCTTTACTGGGGGGAAGGAGATCTCTACTGGGGGGGGAGCTATATTAAGGAGGAATTGAACTGGAGGGAGAGCTTTACTAGGGGGAAACTGTATTGGGGGATGGGAATCTGTACTAGGGGGAGATCTGTACTGGGGGGAGCAGGGGCAGACTGACAACTCATGGGGCCCCCGAGCAATAGGGGATCATGGGGCCCCTGTGTCCTTGCCCAAACTCAAAAAAGCCTATGAAAAAGGTACCAGGGGCATCTCATGGGGCCCCCTACTGACCCCGGGCCCTTGGGCAGTGCCCAAGTTTCCAAATGGTCAGTCCGCCCCTGGGGGGGAGCTATATTGAGAAGGAACTGCACTGGGGGGGAAATCTTTACTGGGGGGATGAGGAACTGTACTGGGGGAGATCTGTACTAGGAAAGAGCTGTGCTAGGCGAAAATCTTTATTGGGGGGATCTGTACTAGGGGGAAGGAAATCTGTACTGGGGGGAGCTATACTGAGAGTGAACTGGGAGGAAAACTGTATTGGGCGATGCTAATCTGTACTAGGGGAAGATCTGTACTAGGAAGGAGCTGTACTGGGGGAAAATCTTTACTGGGGGGGGGATTTGATTTGTACTGGGGGAAGAGGATCCTTACTACTGGAAGAGGGGGAGACCTATACTGGGGTGATTTTTAGCTAAGGGAGAGAGGAATTTCTTTGTTGTACTCTGTCTATGAACCTGTGCGTTACACACTCCTGCTCCTTTCACTCTGTGTGTTACACACTCCTGACCCCTGCACTCTGTACATTACACACTCCTAACCCCTGTTAGATTCCTGCTTGTGGCACAGTAGTTAAATAATATTTTTTAAGTACAAGGATTGT